AAAAAAATCGAACCACATATGCGCTCCTTTCGGCTGTGGCAAATCAACAGTGCTACTGAACTGGAAAGCTGGTTCTTGAGGTGATAATCGAGGATTCTGGAATGGAAAATATACAAACGGTATGAATAAAGCACTCAAAGATAACACAGTTTATGACTGGGCCGAATAAAAATATGAAACCCTTTGAAATGTTTACTGAATGATTTCACATGTTCAAATGAAGATATTTACTAGATTGATTGACTAATATCATTTAGAGATATTTACTGATTTCAAAAAGATTTCAACAAATGAACGAAACGAATTTAATGAAACCAATGAACGAAGCAAAAAGAACGTACAGTGCCTACAACTCCATGTCCACTAACTTGTTGCATATTATTCAAACTGAATACTTTCATTGCTCTTTCACGCAACACCACCGTACTCTTCTCCAAATTCTCCAGTCGGATTACATAACGCCACTTAAAAAACGATTGTTTATATTATGGAGTCAAATAATTACTCATTACAAAATTGATCTATTTGATCGTATTGAATTAGAAAGAATGGGTAATCACATGCTCACAATCAACTGATTCACAGAGATTATGAACACAATGAACTAACGCAGTGTTTCTGTTGACCACCAATAACATTTGCTCCAAGATAAAACGTTGTTACGGTCACCTGAATAAGGAAGGATTCGTGAGTGTGATAAAAGTGAATAAAAAGTGAATAATCAATTTTCCAGTGTGTAACTCCGTAGCTAACCCAATCACGCCAAAAATTCGAAACTTTTTCTTGAGTGCTTAAAAAAAATTAAAAAATTCCTGAACAATATGGACTCTGAAGTGATGCTGCGATTTTTGAAAACATTACAATTTGAAAGGTTTGTTGGTATACAAGCGATGGCATCAGAAAGAATCACATTCATACTGGTCCTTGACGTTTCGCAAACGAACAAGCAATGAAAAACTGAAGCAAAATGAAAACAGTTCTAGCATTAACCTGTATTCCATCTGTTGTCTCCTTATAAACTTCTTGAGGTGATAACCATGACCGCTGACTGGCCAAATAGTTCGGCATTAACTCTTTCCGAATTGCGAATTGCAAATCTCAATTTTTGAATGGTTTCGATTAATCTTTTTCTACAAAGAATCAGTTTGCAGCAATTTGCAACTGTTTCCATCGCAATTTTCATCAACATTTCAAGTATTCCTTCGGTAAATATCAATCAAAATTCAGATATACAAATGATCCGATAGTGCCATGTTTGCTTGAATATCTCCTAAACCGCATACAATATCAACCATATTACCGATTCCAACACGATCTCTTATCAATGAAATATCAATAACAGAAATAAATGATTGACAGCATCGGGAGAGAATTATTGGCTTAAGAT